CATTTTGTGCTACAAATGTGGACAATAAAAAAATAATGTTAAGACTTCACTTTCTATCCTGAAAAAAAGGAATGTTACAATACACAGCTATCTAAAGACCTGCCATATTTTTTCATTTGAAACAGTTTACAATTCTTGCACAGACAGTATCAACAAAATAGTATAAAATACCCCATTAAAGTTGTTTTACTGTGTTTTGATATTTGCAGTACAGAGGGTTGAACCCAGGGCCTATGCCCTGAGGCACATCCCCAGACTTGTTCTGGAGACAAGTTCCCTAAATTGCTAAGTTCCCCTGTACCACAGAGAGAGACAGAGATAGGGAGGGAGGGAGAAAAATGGGAGGAGAAGAAACAGAGACAGATGAAGGAAAGGGAGGGAAGTAGAAGAATGGACCAATGGATGGGCAGACAGATTGATGGACCTAACATGCCTTGAATTGTTTTTCCCAAAAGTCACCTCTTGAACTGCTCCTCCTAATGGCCATTTGCAATGAATTTTCCATCTGCTCCCACTGCAGCTAATCCAGAGTGCTTTCTCAGCCTCGGCAAGCTGGCATACTCTAGGCCAGAGGTACCATGTCTATAGCACTGGACCACACCCACCAATGCCCAGGTCTGGCCAATCTCACGGTCCCAGGCTGCTCAGTGACATACCAAGCTTAGCAGGCCCAAGGCCTGGCAGTCAATCTCAGCATTGAAAAACAAAACCAAAGCAAGTCTCCAGACACTGCTGCTTTTCCCTCAGAATGACAAATTTAGGACACTCAGGAGACTTCCCTGGAGGCTAAGGATGTTCCAGCACAAGGTCTCTTAACTCAGGCTTCTCCCTCCTAATACCAGAGGAATCACCCTGCTCTGTTCCTACCCCCAGGGGTACTGCATCTGAGCAGAGACAGGAGGGGTCATCACAGGGGTTCTAAGAGAGAGGGAGTTTCAAGTTTTGCCTTGCAGCCTAACAGCATGGAAGAGAAAACTAGTAAACAATCAGACAATCTCAACCAAGCTGGCTTTACCACTGCAAGTCACACTGTAATGTCAAAAGGCAACAAATCATGTAGGGACATTCCACATTGAAATCATCAGCAAAACCAGGTGCTGCAGCAGACCCCAGCAAGGCAGGCTGAGGCAGGAACACTGCCACCCTGGCAGTCTTTATACTACATGATGCCTTTAATGCCAGTCTAAACTACATAGTGAGAGCCTGTCTCAAAAAAAAAAATCTAAATTCCTTATGACTAATGGGATCATTATGTATACCTAAAACGTACCAATAAACTTAAGTAACTAAAAAACTTAAATGATTAAATAAAATAAACAATGAGAACTGGTTTATGTTATAACCAACCTACATCCTGAGATTAACCTCCCCTTACAAAGGGCTCTTGACAAGAAGCCAAAGTCTGTCCTGGTGTAGTGGTGCATACCTGCCACCCCATTGACCCAGGAAGCTGATGCAGGAGGATCTCAAGTCCAAGGTCCGCTGTGTCTCAAAATAAAATACAAAAGGCCTGGGGAAGCAGATCACAGTCTTGGCAGCACTAAAGAAAATGTGAATCTAGAGCCTCGGAGGAGCTCAGGGGAAAGAGGAATCAAGGCCTGAAGGCAGCCGGCTGCTCTAAGACTGGGATGCCTGAGACTCAGAAATACTCTTGAACACAGGTCACAGGAACTAGGCCAGCAGTTTGCTGGGCACCATGGATACTGAGTCCCCAGCTGTTCCTCCAGAAGGGGAGAGGACACGGGGTCCCCACCCCTCCACACCTGCCAAGCGGCAGGTCCAGCTCAACCTCCACCTTGACCCAGACCCTGGGGACGAGTCGTAGACCCTTGTCCCCAGATCTCTTGCTGATTCTGAGACAGTAACAAGCAGAAACATGGCACCAATTCAAGACACTCCCTGGAAACACAGTCCAAATGGCACAAAAGAAAACCTATTTGGAGAAGAAAATACTGATTATTTTGGATCCCGAAAGTTTTCTTTTGCCTTCACTTGTTTGGATTTTTTTTTTTTCAATGTCAATATTCAGCCCCAAGGTTTCATATATGCCAAGCAAGCACCAAACACTTTGTTTTTCTACACTAGAGATTTAACCCAGGACCTTTTCTTGACCAAGCTGCATCTCCAATTTCTGTTTAAAAAAAAAATCGTTTTTTGGGACTCCCTAAGATGCCAGGAACTTACAATCCTCCAGCATCAAGTCTCCCAGAATGCTGAGATCACAGATGTCTGCCACTCCGCCCAGCTCCTGGAACTGTCACAGAGCAACTTATGTGCAGTACCATGCAGCGTGTCTAATCCTACTGCTTTTGGTGTAAAGGAAATTTAAAAAAAAAAAAGTCTACTGACTTATACATGTTTTCCTCCAAAATTATCATTTATTACTCATCTGTGACTCTCATCACGTTTCTCATATTAAAGTGATGATAGCACACTTTTCTAATTCTGAAACTTACTAAAACTTGGTTTAAAACAAATATTTTTCTTTTTGGTCTTTTCAAGACAGGGTCACTATGCAGTTCAGGCTGACACTGTGCTTACTTTCCAGCTGAGGCTAGTTTCGACTTCCAACAATCCTCTTGCCTCAGCCTCCTGAGTGCACGTGCCACCGTGTCTGGCTGCTAACATTTCTATCTGAAGGTAAGAAAACTCTAGTATCTTTATGCTAGTTACACACACAAAACCAATCTTTCTTGGAAACAGAATTTCCTCAAGCTATAACATAGCAAGACTGTCTCAAAATTAAGTAAGTAAAATGAGCTAGGGATGTAGCTGATTGGAAAGCTCTGCATTCCATCCCAATACCACCAAAAAAGAAAAAAAAAAGAAAGAGACAAGCTTGGCCGAATTACTTTACAAATAAGTATGTAAAAAGGAGCTTTCCTTTCAAAAAACAGACCCAACAGTTTCCATCACAAATCAGCTTCAAGGCTCACGGCGTCCCGACAGTCTCAAGACCACTTTCAGAACAGATCTGAGTTTCCAGATACAACCAGACACCTAAAAGTCTCCCTACCACATTTTGGTGTAAAGGAAATCATCTATGTATCACCTTAATGCAACACATGCTTGTCTTGTCAAATCTGCTTGTCATCCTCCTTATGAAAGAATTCATAAATGTTCTTAATATTTTATACTGACACTTAAAACATCTAAACATCCTTAAGAGCTGGGTGTGATGGTACACATCTATAATCCCAACACTCAGGAGGCTGAGGCAAGAGGACTATTGCTGAGTTCGAGACCAGCCTGGGTTACAAAGTGAGCTCAAGGCCAGCTGAACTGCATAGACAGACCTTGCCTCAAAAACACACTTAAAAAAAAAAGAAAAAAATTCTTAATATTGTATATTGGCAAGAATACCAAGAATGGAAAAAGCTTTCAAAATGTATTATTTGTAGACAGGAGTGGTGGAGTGTGCCTGTAATTACAGTACTCTAAGAGGCTGAGCAAGTCAGGGAGACCCTGCCTCAAAAAGGACTGAAGATGTAACTCAGTTCGAAGTCCCTGGGTTCAATTACTAGCACAGGAAAATTAAAACAAGACAATAACAAAAAAACACAACTATTTCAAGTTTCTCAAACAGCTGAAGTAAAAGGAGTATTAAAAACTGAACTGACTGCAAACCAGGTTCAGGATGCCTAAGTGAGTAGCTGGCCAGGGCTTCTGGCACATAAAGTGGGGACTAATATAGAAAATATGTCCTACTTCTTCCCTGCTGTGACTAAGCTCCGAGTTACCCACAAGCATTACAGGCGTGCTTCTGTGAATGACAGGCACTCTCCTCACCAAACTTACAAAAACACTTAGGCTCCAGCGTTAAGAATACCACTACGGATCACAAACAAAAAATAACGTAAATGTTGCTTCATCATTTAAGGAGCTAGGACACAACTCCAAGTGATTAATTAACCTCAAAAAAGTATTTCAGAAGTTTCATAAACATGTATTTAACCATGTGGTTACAGCAGAATTAGACAAATCTGAGCCCAGGGTGAGCAACCGCAGGGGCCGGCTCTGACTTTAAAAGCTGTCCCCACACCAAGCTCCGAGGGAGCCCTGTGTCTCCCCAGCCAGCCAGGCCTCTTCCTCTTCCCGGGAAGCGCATGACAAATAGGGCGTCATGCAACTAAGTCACCGGATCACTTAGCAGAAATTACACCTCGCGCTCAACTTGGAGCCAGATGGCCTTGTATCCTCTGAAGAAACGGAGCTGAGGAAGACTCCTGGGCGAGGGAGGCTTAGGGGATGCCTGCTTTCTCCGCCCTGCAAACACTCAGCACCTCGGGAGGTCGAGTCCCGATTCCGACCCGCTTCCTCGCAGGCCTTGCTTGCCCAGCTCGCGGTCTGTTTTGCAAGAGTGAAGGAACTTTTCCTGCTTCATCGCCGTGCCCGGGAGCGCAAGGACCTGCAATCCAATCTCCTAAACTGGCAGAGGAGGAGGGTGGCGAAGGAAGGGAGGAGGTCAAAGCAACACAGCTTTAAGAGAAACCAAAAATAAATACATACACAAACAAACAAACGCCCAGGTTCCGCCTCCACCCAGCATAGCCAAGGCCGAGGCGTACAGCGTGCCTGACACCGGGGCCCCGCGAGCTGCACCCCGAGCTCTGTCGCCCCACGCGCGGGGCCCAGCTGTCAGACTTCAACTCGGAGACGAGCGTTAGGATGGAGAGGAACAAAAAAAGCCGCGCCGGGCTGGTCGGGCCGGGCAGGGCCGGGCCGGGGCCGAGAGGAGTGGGAGCCCGACCCGCGTCCCGATTCGGCCAGGCCGGCGGCGGGGTCCCCACAGGCCCCGGATCAGGCCCGCCGCGACGGCCTCCCGCACGGAGCCGGCCGTGTGGACCCGGCTCCGCCCCTCCCCCGCGTCGCATTGTCCGCCTCGACCCAACTTTGACGAACGCGGACTCCGGGCCTGGCCGGCCTTGCCGCCCCGGACCTCGTCCTCGCCGCGGGCCTCGGCCTCGCCGCCCCGGCCCGGCCCCACAGCGGCCGTGTACCTGTCATTGAGCTGGTCCTCGGTGCCCGGCAGCGGGTGCACCACGAAGTGGATGGACGTCATGGCGCCGGGCCGCGGGGGCGAGCGGGCGCCGGCGCGGGTCCAGACGGAGGGCGGCGGGCGGCAGGCGGAGCGGGCGCGGGCCGCGCGTCACGGGCGAGAGACCGCCGCCGCCATCTTCACTTCTGCCCCAGTTTCTCCGCCTCGCGGGCGGCGCCGGGGCGGGGGAGGGGCGGCGGCGAGCCCGGCTAGCGGGGGCGCGGCTGGGGGCGGGGCTCCGAGGAACGGGCGGTGCAGCGCCTGCGATTGGACGGCCCGACGCCGGCGCGCCACGGCGCTGTAAGGCGCGCGCCGATTGGTGCTTCCGGGTCCGAGCTCCGCCCCACGGTGGGCGTAGCGTGGCGAACGAGTGTTCCGGGGAGCACGTGTTCGCGCGGGCGGGGCTTGGGCACCCTGCCGGCTCGCGTCGCTGGGACGCCAAGGCTGGCGGGCGCGAGGTGGCGCGGTCCCGTGAGGGCGCTTCCGCCCGGATGTCCCCGGGGCTGTCCCATCGCGGTGCGAGCCCCTAGGGCTCGCCGTTGTTCCCAGCCTCCCTCTGTAACAGCATCTCAAAGGGAAGCTAGATCATCTGAGATACGAGAAAAGCTCGTTACATAAGGGTCTCTCCGCGGGCGACACAGGGGACTGAGGTGACCACGGCGACCCTCTGCCCGAACAGGCCCAGCCCAGGCCGCACGGCATGCTGAACACTGGAACCCCGCTCCCGTGCAGACCTCGCGAGGACCAAGTGTAAAAATTCCCTCTCTGAAGGGCTTGCGACTTTCTTATGGTTCCTAAATGAAAAATTCTTTTCCTGTTCTGCAGAGAGGTTCTCCAGTTGATCGATCGGATGGAAGGGGCAGATTCTTAAATGGAGTCATCGGCGTGATGATTTTCTGGGGATCCAGTGCATAGCATCTTTCTCGGGAGGCTTTTTTGCCCCCTTCAAAAATCAAGTCCTCCGAATCCAGGACTGGAAACCTGGGCGTCTCACCTTCCAGGTAAGTCTGCCTTCAGTTTGGCTGGAGCACGTTTCTTAGGAAGGGAAAATGCTTTTCCTCTGTGGATGCCACGCACTTCTGCTTAGCAAGTTCTTGTGAGCAACGTACGTGAAAAATGATTGGTAAATCAGGACAGACTGGGTTCCCCACGAGACAGATAATGGAACACTTTAGTAGGTCGCCGGCTCCCGCATCGCCTGGGATTCATGCAGGCTAAAAACTGACTTTTTACTTTGTGTTAAAGTCCAGTGGTCCTGCTATTTGCAGTCCTAACCATCTTGTTTGTTAATATCCCCTAGTAATGGATGTACTGGAGGTCTAAAGTAAGTTATATCGAGTAAAGTACTGTAAAGCAAAAGGATAACATGTCAAGCACTTAGAATAGTTCTCATACATAGGAAGCTCAGCAAACAAAAGTTTTAAATGTCTCTACGATTTTTTTTTTTTTTTTTTTTTTTTTTAGTACCAGGGATCAAATTCATGACCTTGCACTTGCCAGCAGGCAGGCACTTGTGCCACTGAGCTAAACCCCTGGCCCTTTTTTTTTTTTTTTTTTTTTTTTTTGATACCTGGGATTGAACTATGACCTCACACTTGCCAGGCAGGCTCTTACACTGCTGACCTAAATCTCCAGCCTTTATTCTACTTTATATGCCTGTGTCTTACAGTACTCAGGTCAGGTGCAGTAGTGCACAGAGGCTGAAGCAGGAGGATCTCAGTCAGTTCAAGGCCAGCCTGTGCTACATAGCAAGTCTCAGTCACAAAAAAAATGATAATAACAACACTCAGACCATGCAGTAATGTAAGTCCTATTATTCCTATTATATGAATGGTGACACCAAAGCTCAGATTCCTTAGGCAGGCCCTGCAGTTGAGACAAACCCAGATCGTTTGCCATCGCACTGTTCTTTCCTGTGTAGCACATCTGTCATCTGCAATTAATAATTCAGAAGTAGTGGACTATTTAGAACCAATAATAAAGTATGATAAATACAAGAAGTGCCACCCAGCCAAAGGAAGAAGAGACCAGAACAGATTTAAGAGAAGCCCTTCAGGCTAGGCTTCCAGGAAGGCTCTCAGGAGTATCTGGGGACCACGATTTGTTCCTGTGGAAGAAATAGAGCCAAGGAGGGAATTAACCAGGGCTCAGGCAGCTGCTCCTTGGAAAGGTCAAGTTGGTGATACCCTAGGAAAGGAAGCTGAGCCAGCAGTGAGGTGGCACATGCCTAGTCTCAGCTACTTAAAGAGGCTGAGGCAGGAGGATCACTTGGTGAGAGGCCACTGCTGCCATCCTCACTTTGACCACTGAGTGTTTGGGGCCAGTATGGGGTACACAGCAAAAACCAGTCTCTTAATAAAAATATGCACAGGGTTAGCTCAGTGGTAAAAGGACTTGTATATCATGCCCAAGGCCTTGGGTTTGATCCTCAGCACTAGAAAAAAATTTGAATTTATGTATACATGTTAAGTACTATGCATAAATACATATACAAGCCAGGCATGGTGGCACACACCTGTAGACCCAGCACTCTGGGAAGTTGAGGCAGGAAGATTGCACATTTCAGCCTAGCCTGGGTAATTTGGTGAATTACGGTAGCAAAAACTTGTCTCAAAAAGGGATGAATTTATGACTCAGTGCATGTGCCTTAGGTTCAATGTGTGTGTGTGTGTGTGCGCGCGTGTGTGTGTGTGTATGCATACATATTTTTATGTATATCAAGTATACACATGTGTGTCTGTGTATATATATATATATATTCAGTATGTATTTAAACAGAAAGCTCGGGCACTTGCTTTGTAATCTGATAAATTCTCCCTTTGAGGATGATGAGAACATTCTCCATTTTCACACAGGCCCTGGAGAGCTAAAGAAGTGACACCAAGTCACCAGGTGGAACCCACAGGCTGGCTGAGACTAAGGAGTGAAGCTTTGTCACGAGGCCAGGCACCAGGGCCACAGAACCGCTCAGAAGCCCTAGGCTGAGTGATTCCTGCCACGGGCCTCAGAGCTAGGAGAGCAGAGATCAATGTCCAGGACTCCCCAGTCAGTGGGGAGCCCCTGTGAATCTGTCTTGTGTAGGAACCCTGAAGGGCTACACCCCTAAGTAGGCCACGCCTAACACTGGGTCTGCTTTCCCCAAAGCTGGACCTTGAGACAAACCTGTAACTGAATAGTTTAGAAAATGATATGTGGGGAGCAGGGCAGGCTGGCACGTACTATCATCCCAGCGCCCAGGAGGCTGTGGCAAGAGGACTGCTGCACGTTCATGACTAGCCAGGGCTCCAGAGGGAGACCCCATCTCCAAACAACAGAAGGAAAAAAAAAGACTGAGATGGCAGGCAGCACCACCTGGGAATGAAGAAATACAGACGGAGGGGAGCCCCAGAGACCGTGTCTGATGAGTGTTCTACCATTGTGGGCAACTGGAACTCGGCCCCCAGCCCTCTAGAGACCATATGCACTTCACAACAAGCCAGCTGAGGCCAGGAAGCTGGGGTGTTTATTCCTGAGGCCTCTCTCAGGACTTGGGGCTTCCCTGGGGTGTTGAATCCCACCCCTTCTAACCCTCCCCTTTTAGGGGCAGATCATACTCCCACAGCCAAAGAGAGGCCCCAAGAGTCTGAAGATCACGTGTACAACTCTTAATTTGTACGTTTGAAACAAAAAAATGACAACATAAAGGTTTCCAGAATGAAAGTATAATTAGGGCACTTTTTAAAAGAAAGAGAAATGAACCAGACGGTAGTACATACTACACAAGTTTAATCCAGCCCTCAGGAGGCCGAGGCAGGAGAATGATGAGTTTGAAGCCACCCTGGGCTATGTGGTGGGATCCTGCGTAGTGAAAGCCAGAAATGGTAATTTTCATTTATGTGAGCCTCCAAACCAGACAAGTGAAATAGTCCTTGTGGGGGAAGCATGTTGGGACAGTCTGAGTAGGAAAAGCCAGCGAGGCGTCCCTGAGTGAGAGCAGGCTCTCAGAGGAACAGTGGGGAGCAGGGAGCCTCTGACTGCTGGCCTTGTCTGATTTCTGTTATTTCTGTTTGTTTGTCCGCACTCTCACCCCAAGACAAGCTCTCACTACATAGCCCAGGCTGGCCGTGAACTCGTGGTGATCCTCCTGTCTCAACCACACCTGACTGGATCTTGTTTCTTCACCTGGCTGTGATTCACAGGATGTCCTTCACCCGGGGTCGAATTCAGCGGTGCCCTAGGTCCCTTCCCCTTAGTACATGGTTACAGTGTCCGGTCAACAGGAGCATGATGGGGGCCTGGGTACGTGTGGGTCTCACCTTGACGATTTCCTGTCCCCTGCCCTCCTGTCCTGGGGTCGGGTGGCCCCAAATCTGTGGGAACTGACACTGGGTACACAGTTCAGGGCCCTCCCTGCCATGGTGATGCCAGGGCTGGGAACTCGTATTGGAACACGCTGTGCGAGACTTTGGGGCAGCATAGTCCTAGCAAACCCCGCGACTTTCAGAGTGAGAAAGCAGGGAGAGACTTACCCCACTACACACACACAGCAAATGCAATGCCCAGCCCAGGGAACACATTCAGTTACTCAGTCAGCAACAGTGCACACCTGCCATGTACTACACAGCAAGCACACTGGAAGCAGGGTACAGAAGGAGAAACACTGGTCCTGCCACTCAGCGTATGGCCGGTGGTGAGGGGCTCTATCCACGGAAAGCACTGCAAAGTAAGGTTGAGCACCAAGTCAGTAGAAAAGAGCATGGTGCGAACACACCTGGAATCCTAGCACTCAGAAGGCTCTGGCAGGAGGATTGCTGTACGTTAGAGGCCAGCTGGGGATGCATAGTGAGTTCAACACCAAAATGGACTCTGTCCCCAGAAGCCAAAGAAGGAAGGAGAGAGGAGGAAGTTGAACCCACAGAATAGTATCTGACCCTGCTTGAGGTACAAAAGCAGTAATTCTGTGTGGGGCTGAAGTGGGAGGAGCTAGAACAAGACCCTGTTCCTCCTCTGCAGGCCACAAGGAAAAGTGGCTCCCGCAGGACCCAGAATGAGGCTGAAGGGTTTCACTGGAGCAGCACCTCTGAGATCGGGACCCGGGAAGGACATGGCACAGGCAAGATGACCTGCCTCATCGAGAGAGCACTGTGCCTCGGCCTCCCCGCTCTCCATAAGCCTACATCTTGGTTTCACTGAGTTTTGTTTTTGATATTTTAAGGTGTGATTTCGCTGTAGAGTCCACGCTGGCCTCAAACTCACAGCGATCCCCCGCCTCAGCCCCCTGGGTGCTGGGACCAGAGGAGTGTGCCCTATACCCAGCGAGCCTATGGCTTGGTAAGAGATGCCCTGAAAGCTCTTGAGTTATAAAGCAAAGGAAAGCCCTGCACACGAGCTGCCCCCAGGGGCCTCCTGGGAGGAAGAGGAGGGACAGGCTCCAAGCACTTTATGCCCCAGGTGGGGTTAGGAAACCGAGGTGCAGCGCCCAGAAAACTGGTCCAGCCCTGGCATGAGCCACCGGTCCCCAGCAGCTACCGCTAGTGCTGCTGCTTTTCCTCCTGCGGTGTTTTGAGACAAGGTCTTGCGCTACAGTTAAGCTGGACTCTTCCTGCCTCAGCCTCCTGAGTGCTAGAGCTAGGCGTGCCCTGTCCAGCACTCTTACCTCCAGGGGTCGGCCTGAGTCTGCCTGGCACCCAGCACAGCGAGGGTCCTGGGGCCTGGAAATCCCTGCCTGCTGACCAGTCATGCCCCCTAGATGCCTAGTCCCTGTGGAATGGCAGGCGCAGCTCTCGGCTGTGACCCACAGTCACCTGTGTGCACTAAGTCGCTCAGTTCCCTTTCCCCACTCTAGTTTTACTTTACTTTGCTTTTTGAGACAGGGTCTTTCTGCGCAGTGCAGGCTGCCTTTGAACTCAGAGTGACCCTCCTGCATCAGCCTCCAGAGTATGTATTGACTGACTGGTTGGTGTGAGTGGAAGTCTCAGGAACCTGTGTTACAGCACGAGCTGCAGCAAGGAGCTCAGAAGCAGCAGTGCGGGTGGAGCTGCCTGCCTGGGCCTAGCCAGAAACGAGCCCTGCATTTGAGAGAAGGGAAGCCATAGGTCACAAGCACAGACTCGCCTGTGTCACTGATGCCACCTCGGGGGACCATGGCCTTAGACTGGAAAAGAGATGGAAACGCCGCAGTGTGACATGGAGCACGGGGAGGTCGCCGTGCGTGCGTGCCTGCGTGCGGGATTCACCTTCAGACTCGGGGATGCCCAGGCGCCCGCCACAGACGCAACCAAGAAGGGCACACGTCCTTCCACCACCGCAGATTTCAGCACCCAGAGCAGCAGCCGTGCGCTTCTCTTTCCTCGTCTTTATTCACTTCTCGCAGTGAGGAAAGCTAAGCAGCCGAGTGCAGTCCAGTGCGGTGGGCATGCCTGTCAGCCCAGCACTCAGGAGGCCGAGGCAGGAGCAGCACTGGGTTTGAGGCCACCTGGCCATAGAGAGACCCTGTTTCAACAGAAAAAAAAAAAAAAATACACTTCCCAAAAGGGGCTGTAACCTGTGGGCAGCCAGCCTGGGGCGAGCTCGTGGTAGGACATGCTTAGCATGTGTGAGGGCCCAGGTTCCGTGCCCAGCACCAGACCAGGAGCAAAAGGAAGTTAGGGTAAGGTATAGCCTTAGTATACGCAGTTAGAATTTTTTTTAAGTTTTTTATTTAAAGTAAACCTAGCCAGATGTGATGGGGCACACCTGAAATCCTGGCACTCAGGAGGCTGGAGCAGGAGGAACTGTGAGGTCAAGATGCCTGGGCTGCATAGTGAGTTCAAGCACAGCCAGAACTACAAAGTAAAACCCTGACTCAAAAAAAATAAAGAAAAGATGACCTTACTCATGCAGTTACAATGAAGCAGTAGCGCTCTGCTGGGTCACTGTGGCCCATTTATCACTTGGCTTGTTTATTTTTTAATAGATGTTTTGCTACTCAAGGACGTGATCAACAGTCGCCGCCGCACCTCTGCAAACCTGTTTGCTCTGATCCGCAGAGATGGCTGTGCTTACCTCACTGAGTGCCTGCGGTACAACCGTGAGGTTTTGCATCATTACCTGGCGCCACATAGTGAATTGTTTACTGGATTAAAAAAAAACCTCAGTCTTGAAAGTAGCCTATATGACTTTGGACCGATGAACTGAGAAAACGTGATATTCCCGTGCAGTGGAGTACTGTCTGCCATTAAGAAACTTGAGTCATGGCGGGGATCCTTTTGCTTTGTTTTTTGTCCTTGTGAGACAGGGTCTCGCTCTGCAGTTCGGGCTGGCCTTGAGCTCATTTTGTAACCCAGGCTAGCCTGGAACTTGCATCAATCCTCCTCCCTCAGCCTCCCGAGTGCTGAAATCGTAGGCCTGTGCCACCACACCCTGCAAACTTGAGTTGTTTGTATGGGTTCACCTCAAGAGACCATGATGTTGAGTGCAGCAAATCAGACACACAAGTTTACGGATCACATGGTTTCTTTGATGTGAGTGGCCCATGAAGAACCAAATAAAAGAGAGGTAATAGTAGGGAGGAGACAAGGTTTTGGGTTTTTGTTACTGTTGTTTTGTTTGTTTGGTAACAGGGATTTAACTCAAGACCTTGTGCTTGCCAGGCAGGCACTTGGTCACTGAGCTAAATCTCTGGCAGATACGGGTTTTGGGGAATGGGAAGGGGACCAAGAGTCAGAGGGAGGGGGAAGGAGGAGAGGGAAAAGGACGAGAAACTAAAGACGTGTCGCAGACCTGTCGTGCGACATGCACCAAATCATCTGTAGAATTACATGCATGTGGATCATGATGAATAGAATCATCAGTACACACAAACACGTACTGATAAAAGTGTAACAAAATTCCAGTATTCAGAATCACTGAAAAGGTTTGGAGAGTGCCTCCACCGCATCCCCAAATCCCAGCAGCTGCCTGAGGCTGGGGTTTCCACCCCCACCCACGTCCGCCGGCACACCTGCTTCAGTCCCGACCAGCCTGGGCCAGCACCTCCCTCCAAGCCTGGGCCCTGCATTTCACTTGGCTGCCTCTCTTCCGCGCTTCCCTCCTGGAATAGTGCCTAAAACAGTTCCTCCAAAACTGGGTACTTAGAGCAGAGGACTCTGGCTTAAGTGCCTTTTACATTGTTGCAAATCCTCTGCTTGGCCTCCTCTTTGCTTCCATCCAGGTGCCAGGGCTGCATAGCTGCATTTCTGTCTCTAACGTGAATAGCCCGTACATCATAAGGTTACAGTGGATTTGCATTGACTAACTTCCGCCTAGGTCTTCCTGCACCTGTGTTCTCTTAGTGAAAAATGGTCACCTAACCACATCCTGCTTCAGATTATGTAGCATCATGAGACAGCTTCAAACTCAAGTTGTTTCAGTGCTGTGTGTGTCAGCAACCTTGATAACTTCCCAAATTACAGTGTTACCAGAGAACTAACTTTAAGATATTTTTAGTTATCCTTTGCTTGTGTATTTATTTACTTATTTGAAGGGAATAAAATGGAACAAAATAGAACAATATTGAATTTTGGAACACAACAAAACAGTATTGAAAATCAAAAACAAGACAGCAGGAAACCCCCCATAGTTGCCGTGTGGTATATTTTTATCCTCTAAACATGCTCAGACTACTGGCTTTAGGTCTACGGAGTCAATCAGTTGATACAAGCATTGAGTTGTTTTTGTACCTCAGTTGCCATCATCCCAGCCTGTGTTCCTTCGGATCAGCCGCTTGCCTGGGAGTTGGGGGAGCTCTTGTCTCCCAGCTGCTACTGGCTGACTCATGGGAAAGGCAGGCTCCCTTCCTGTTTTTTTTCCAGCGTGCAGGGTTTCTGGCACACAGGAAAAGCAGGCTGACTTCTTCCTTGACTTGATTTATAAGCAGAGCCCTTTCTGGCCTTTGATTCCAATGAGTTGTATCTTATTTTCGTGGTGCTTGGGGACTGAACTCTGAGCCTTCACAGTGAGGTCCATCCCTGGCCTTTTAAACTTTCGTTTTTTTCTACAAGATGTCACTACTTTGCCCAAGCTAGGCTTAAATTTGGATCCCTGGCTTCAGTATCCCAGAGTGCTGGGGTTACAGGAATGCAGCGCCACTCTGGCCCCTGGCTCCTGATGAGTTGCAGTTAGCCAGTCCATTTATTTCCTGATTTCTTTCTTTTTTGGGGTGAAAGGTTCTGGCTGTGTAGGCAAGGCCAGCCTCCAGTGCTTGGCAATCCTGCCTCAGCCTCCCAAGTGTGGGATTATACCCAACACTTTTAACAATTAAGTAGTCAAAATAAAGGTTTTTGCTCTGCCAAAATCACCACATCTAAATGGATGCACCTTGAGACCACACTGTTAAGCAAACTGAATTGGACATGCTCATGTAAATACCCCTTGTCTCTGGTGCGAGAAACCAAAAATGTAAATAAGGACCAAAATGTATACTAGATATTGGGAAATAGAAGAAAATGTTCAAGGGAAAGGTGCACTCGAAAGAAGGGACAAGAGAAAGAGGCAGAAGGATCGTGGAGGGTTCAAGGCCGGCCTGGACTGCCCAGATCAAAGCTTGTCTGAGCTACAAAGAACCAAACAGGAAAACCAAGACGGCCGTCCTGATAGGGTGCTCTCTACCCTAGAGGAGGCCACGCCCCACTCGGGAGCCATCTGTGCAGTGTCCTGAGCCAGGGCGCTGCCTGGCTGTGCTCCACAGGTGCCTGACAGCTGAGGCCCAGCGGATGTTCTAAGAGCCCCACGGGTCTGAGTCAGCAGATTCCGTTCCGGCCGCCAGCCTCAGTGTCTGATAGAATCCCTTTTTGTGCTTGCTTGGTTGGTTGAAGACAGAATCTTACCACGTCGTTCAGGCTGGTCTTGAACTCAAGAGGTAGCACCGACTGGCCTCTGACTTGGAGCAGTCCTGCCTCAGCCTCCCAAGTGTTGGAATTACACATGTGCACCACACATCTGGCTTCTGGCTGATAGAAACCCAGCTCCAGTCTCAACAATCCCGTTCCAAAGTTGAGCTGAATGAACAGGTTGGGTGGAGACGGGAGGCCCACCTGCCTTGTGGCTGCTCCAGGGTAGCACGTGTACATAGCATGTACATAGCATGCCTGGGTTCCAATCCCCAGGAACCCCCTCCGGGGAAACCTGTAAATTCTACTAAGCATGATTCTGTTTGCAAGGAAAATGTGAACGTATGGCAAGTGCGTGCGCAACGCTGGGGCTGGACACCACAGCCTTAGGTGGCAGGAGGGACTCTACACCACCGCGCTACTTCCCATGCCTCTCCAGAAATTAGGGTGTGGCAGAGCCAGCTCCTTACAGACCCCAGGACGCAGGCGCGAATGATGCCTAAGCCCCGCCCCCCAAGGATTTCTGGCGAAAACCTGAGCAGGCTCTGCATAGGCTGCTGGAGTCCAAAGACGTCGGCGGAGCGGGGACCCGGAAAGAGTGCACGCTGGGCCTGAGCCTCCTGCGCTGCCGCACGAGGGTCACCCTCACGCCGAAGGGTGTGCTGCTTTTCCTACTTTTACTTCGCCCCAAGCTCACTCTGCAAAGCCTGTTTCCTTTTCTACCTTTAATAAAATTTTGCTACTCCTCGCTCTAATCTTGACCAGTTCTTTGCTCAGGACGGAAAGAACCTAGAAATCACCTGCAGAAGGAGACTCCAGCACCCCAAAAACTACTGACACTTTTTTTTACACGTTTTATTCCTTTTTGTCCCTGTTTTTTGGTTGGTTTTGTTTTTTTTGGGGGGGGGGGGTTGGAGGCAGGGTCTTGCTATGTACAGGGTTGGTCTTGAACTCACTGTGTAGCCTAGGTCAGCCTGAAACCGCAGTCCTCCTGCTTCAGCCTCCTGGATGCTGGGATGGCAGGTGTGCACCACCACAGCTGGCCTGTGCAGAGCATCTTAATGCTCTGTTTTGACCCCGTCGCATCCTTGCTCCCTCCATCTCTCGGGCCCTCTGTCTCCCGACCTCCTACTATCTGTCTTTTATTTTGCTCTTTGAAGTTTGACTTTCTCATATGAGAGAAGGCATGCGATATCTAAGCTCTGTGTGTTTTGTGTGTTTTATCTCACTTAACATTATGGTCCTGAGGTGCATCCATTTTTCTACAGATGACTCAAGTGCATCCTTCCTGGCCAAATAGTGCTCCACTGCGTATAAATGCCACTTCTGGTCTTGTCTTCTTTGTTTGGTGTGAGACAAGGTCTTACTATGTGGCTCATGCCTTCAACTCACAGCAACCCTTCTGCCTCCCTGGGGCTGGGATGACAGGTGTGCGCCACCACACCCAGCTGTCTCTGGGGACTTCGCTGGCCAAAACCTTGCTGTTTTCCTGTTTTCCAGGGCAGTCTAACTGCGGTTGGATTTTCCAACCCGGCACAGCTGTTCCTGCATCTCTTCTCACAGCTGGCAGTGTGTCCCACCGGGCCTATTTCCTGCTGACTGACGCCGAGCACCACAGCCAGGCGTGGTGGCACAGATTTGTAATCCCAGCACTCAGTTGGCTGAGGAAGGAGAATTGCTGGGAATTTGGGGCCAGTCTAGGCTACAAAATGTTTAAGGTCACCCTGAACTGCATGATGAGACCCTGTCTTTTAAAAAACCCTAAGTAAATAAAGAACAATATGCTAACAGCCATGGCACCTTTTTGTTTTGTTGTTTTTAGGTGAGTTACTAAATTACAGGCTTATAGTCGTCCCTGATTTTATTATTAATAAATATTGTTTTGTTTTGTTTTGTTTTGAGATAGGGCCTTGCTGTGTACTCTAGGCTGACGTGCAACTCACTGTGTAGCTCAGGCTGGCCTCAGACTTGGAGCAGTTCTCCTGCCTCAGCCTCCTGTGCTGGTATTGCCAGTGTGTACCACCCAGTTTGACCTTTTTCTTCCTTTCCCTTCGTTCCCTTTCCTCCTCTTCCTCCTCCTGCTTCTCCTTCCTTTTTCTCCATCTGTCTGTCTGTCTCTCTCTCTCTGTCTCTCTGTGTCTCACTGCTGGGGTTCCACCCCAGGCCTCCATATGACCCCTCTGACCAGCCGTTTTTTCTCCCCAACAGAACTAACGGTTTCAGAGCCCAGGGCTCCTGGGACCCATACCATCTTTCCCAGCATTCCCTGCAGCAGGCTGTGGCCCTGTGACAGCCTGGCGGGGGAGGGGCGTGTCTCCCAGGGAACTGGGGTATACCACATCTTGAAGTCAGGACAAGAACCTGCAGAGCAGAAGCTGGGGGACCCAGAGCAGCCCAGTTCAGAGGCGCCACCCTGGTTGTTTATGACAGAGACCACTGTGACCTTCCGTGTCCCTTGTGGTTGGGTCTCACCGGAGCTGGCAAGGCCAGGCATAAGATGAGCACCACAGGCAGGATGGAGGGAGCCTGGTGGGGGCGCCTGGGGACATCCCTCTGCCTCACAGCTGCACCCCTCCCTGCCACTGGCAGCAGCGTCCTCCAGCGCGGCAATTAAAATGCCATCGAATACAAAGTTGATGATACATTCTCATACCCAAAAAAAAGCAGGAACTAAAATTGTAGCAGAAGGAGCCGAGTGTGGTGGCACTGGCTGCTGGCCTATGTTCCCAAGACATGGACCACTTGAGTTCAAGACCGGCCCAGGCTACACAGCAAGATCCTGTCTCAAAAGAAAAGAAAACTCCATATGAAAAGCCAGCTCCATATAAAAAACTCCAGCAGGAGGATGAGTCCCCCTGCCAGAGATGCTTGCGCATACAGATGCTAGGGTCAGCCAAGACATCAAACCCAGGGACGCAGGGAGGTTGCAGAGGCAGATCTCAGGCTGGATCTGTGCATGACTTGTTTTGTGTGTGGCCCTTTGTCTGTTTGGGCCCTGGGCCCTGCCATCACTGCGACTCAGCTGAGTCGGTGTTCAGAGCTCCCCAACCCCCAGGTTTCCTGGGCACCCAGCCGGTGCAGCGGCTCTAAGCAATGCCAGCCTGGGTGCCTCATCGACACCATGGTTCCTGCCTGCTGCCCACAGCAAGGGGCCCCCTGCGCACTACGCTCTGGGAAACATCAGATGCCCTTTGCCTGGTCTCCCTCCGGGTCAGAGGCTCCCAGTATGTTGTCCAGAAACAATCGAGGCAGGGCTGAGCCAGGAGTCAGCCTTCTCAGCCCTGCAAAAGAACAACAACGCAAAAGCCTCCGGGACACGGGGGCAGACGCTGTAATGCCAGCTACTCGGGAGGCTGAGGCAGGAGGACTGCTAGTTTGAGGGCAGCCTAGGAAACTTAGCAAGACCCTGTCTCAAAAAATAAAAAGGATCAGAGATGTGGCTCAGTGCAGAGACTCTGGGTTCAATCTTCAGTACCCAAAACAAAACAACAATAACACAAAAAAACCAGAGGCAGATTGGAAACCAGCTGGGGACACTGAGACCAAGGGACATAGCAGCAAGTTACCGTGTTTTCTCTTTGCTTCCTATTCCCCAGGTATGGAGTGGAACAAACTGAAAACTCAAAGGTGCTAAGAAGCCAGGAAAAGAAAGGAATCCCCAGCAAGCGTACACCTATTACCAGCCTCGGGGCCTGGCTGGCACCCAGGACCAAACACTGCCCCTGGGGCCGTGCAGGAGATGCAGGGCAGAACCCACACTCGCAGGGGCAGTGTCAGGACAGCTGTGGGCACCACATCTGGGCCAACAGCATCTGCCCGAAAAGGAACAGCCCAGGGGCCAACATGCAGAGGCCTCTTGGAGTGCATTTATATAATAGCACGGAGCCGACGGCAGGGCAAGAAGAGAAAAATCCACGGTCAGTGTCCACCATGAGCACAGACACAGAAGTCCTTAACAGAACTGGGCGGCGTGGTGGTGCACACCTGTCATCCTGGCCCTTGGGAGGCTGAGGCAGGAGGATCTTGAGTTTGAGGCCAGCCTGGACTGCATAGTAAGAGTAGGGCCAACCTGGACTACAGAGCAAGATGTCTCAGAACAAAACACAAAAAAATAAAGAAGTTACAAAAACAGCTGAGTAATTTGAAGAGTGAAGTGGACTGCAAGACGACACAGCCACAGCGACAGGGACTGTGCAGAGTCACTTGCATGAGGTAAGCGGACACTGACACAGACGTGAGAGGGATTTATTTTTTGTTTGTTGTTTACTTTGGTACAGGGGATCAACCTCACAACCCTGCATTGCCAGGCAGGTGCTCATACTGCTGAGCTAAATCCCTGTCCAAGAGGGATTTGATACAAAACAAGACTTTCCACCAATGGTGATTAAATGCTACAGGAAGTGACAGTGAGCCTCGACCTGAGTGTCCCGCTCTCTACAGAACAGGAACTCCCGTGGGTCAGGGCTAGCTGTGACAGGCGGAACTGGCTGACTGCAGGGAAGATGGGGGGCTGCAGACTAACGCAGAAACCACTTGGACTGGAAACAGGAAAAGTTCATCCGTTAGACTGTCTCCAAACGCAGCATTTCCCCTTGACGGACGTCTCGGGCTGAGCAGATGACACCACAACCACAGGCCTTGAGGGAGAATTTGCAGACTCACCTCGGCACAAGATAAGCCAGGCAGCCCACTTGGAAAATGAGAACAGAGGACACACAGATGGGGAACAGCCCCGGTGAGAAAATGCATGCATGTGTGCATGTGTATACGTGTCTGTGTGTTAGTGGCATTGGTTCCAGGGCCTGCACACTGGGCACATCCAGGTTTGTTTTTTTTTTTATGGTCTTTTTCCTTTTTATCGGTACCAGGCATCGAACTCATGACTGTCTGCTTGCAAGGCAGGCACTTATGCCGCTGAGCTAAATCCCCAGCCCCAGTTTTTTTATTTTTTTACTTTGAGACAGAGTCTTGTTGCTGGCTGTGAACCTGTGACCTTCCTGTCTCAGCCTCCTGAGTGGTTGTGCCAGCAGGCCCGGGCTACGGCTGCTGCTTGAGTTATCAGCTGTGAGCCCTCCTCGGCCTCCCCCTTAGGATGGATGGGAATGTATCACACATGCACACACACGCACACACACGCACTCCCCTGGTTGGCATCAGGGTGCGGTTGCGTATCCAACTCCTTCACGAAACAGGCGCTGAAACAGACGTACAGACATCAGGATCCATTGAAGACCCCGAGGAGCGCCAGGGAACCAAAGCCCCCCCCCCGCACTCTCAGAGATTCCAGTCGCTGGCAGGGCTCACCAACGTGAGCTGTCCCGCCGAGCAGCTCTACCTGCCTCCGCCTCCTGCAGTCTGGAAGAGAGAAGGCTGAGGATTCCCTGGAGCTGAACCCGGAGAGGGTCGCCGTGCTGGGCTTTCCCAGTGCTGGCCAGGGGAACTTGTCCCCTCACCTTAGACCCAGCCAGGGGGGTTTCAAGAGGCTCTTCAGCTGGGCCTGCTGGTGCACGCCTGTAATCCCAGCATGCAGGAGGCTGAGGCAGGAGGATATCTTTGAGTTTGAGGCCAGTCTGGACATATAGCGAGACCCTGTCTCTAAAAAAGCAAAGTAAGTAGAGCTCTGTGGAGAGGGGCAGGTGTTCCCGAGTTCAGGAGGACTCGGCCCTGAAGGACAAGGCTGCGGGGCGTCTGCAGTGGAGACACAGAGGCTCGGCTTCCGTGGATCTGACTAGCTCAGTTCCCCACCTGAGGGGCA